GGAAATGTCGATGATTATTTGTCAATTTTGCGCTCATCCGCCAACTCATGGTATCTCAACGTCATTAACGTACTATCAGACAGCTCGACTTCATCTGACTCGGATACTCTTGCATCAAGACCCCACCAGTGGCCCATGAGCATCTTTTGCTACATTTGCTCATCTTTTTTGCAGGTCCCCTCACCTGCATCCTATCACCCACCTAGTTGAATTTGGATCCCAACCTTTTCAGTTAATATAAAATCGCAACACTGATCATCTATTGATGGTACATTTTGGAGGCATTCACACCTACTTTTTCAACTCTCTAACAAGAGGTTTGAAGAAAATTGGTTAACCTCACAACTTCAATAAAAAGAAGATCGTTTTTATTTCTAGACCTTTAATAATATCGCTCACACTCAAAAAAAAATTGGGTCTACCTTTAATAATAAGGCAAAAATATATTGACTTTTAAAACCTAATCACGTTTATTTAGGCATAATTTTACTAATTTAATAGGCCCCTTATTTATCCCCAATAACATATTTAAACCATAAAAATTTCCTTTAGCCTACCTAATTTTCATTATATTGTTTAATTATTATTTTTAGATTAATTTATGCAAAAACTTACTTATTAAGAAATAAAATTTTCAACTCGAATTTTTTTTTTTAAAAAAAGAGAATTATATAATAAAAATAAATGCATTTGGTCATTTAAAGCTTAACAAAACTATAAACACATCAAACTTAAATTAATCGGTATCCAAGACACATTCCTCTGTAACAAAATAATAATTAATTACAACGAAGATATCTATATTTATTAAGCATTAAATGTAACATTAATACGCAATTTAGATACACACAATAATCATGAAAGACAAGAAGGCGATGTTGCCAAGATGCACTTTAATTCCAAGGTTAGAAAAAAAATACTTTTTAAGATTGGGTACCTAGTATTGAAGAAAGTCTTTGTAGCATATAAGGAGATAGGGTAGGGTTTCCTAGGTCTAACCTGGGAGGGAATATACACTCAGAGGCGGCCTTGAGGGTGCGCGAGTTGAGCATACGCACAATGCCTCATCATTATAGGGGCACCAAATTTTTTTTTATTTGTGTATATACATGTTAATTATATATTTAAAATATTTATTAATTTTAAAATTTAATTATTATGTTAAGTTAAAGTGCACAATGTTTATGAAAAATGAGTTAAAAGATAGACAAATGATGATTTTTATTTAACATTGTTGTATTTCTTATTCCTAATTATATATCGTACCAAGACATTTTTATTAAAGTAAGATAAATGATTCAGATGGTTTGGACTCCTTCATAACTAATTTCAACGTGTTGTTCTTAATTATTTTCATTTATGGATTATTTCTTTATTGATTGTATGCATTTGACTTGGTATGATATGCAATTACATTAAGATACTAAAGTTAAGAATAGTGTAATTGATTAGATATAATTTTCTTAAATAGTATCCTGTTTTAAATAATGTTAATGAAAATAGAAAAGAAGAAAAAATAAAATTCGTAAGAAGAAACATTTTGATGAAAATGTCACTATAAAAGACACACAAGCATTTGAAAATTCTTTCATAACTAGTTATTTCCTTTATATAGTAGATCAAGTAATTGGATCACTTGAACGAATGTTCGATCAATTCATATATTTTTTGATAAGTTAAACGCATTGAATGATACTAATTTGAAAATATGTTGTGATAATCTTAACATTGTTTTAAGACATATAATTTTTTGCGATCTTTATGACAAGTGTTTTCTTTGAGAGTTAAAAAATTTTGTGAGATCTTTTACCAAAAAAAACAAAGACATTTTTTGATATATTAACTTATTTGAAATATCAAAAGAAACAAAGACATCTTTTGATATATTGACTTATTTGAAAAGATTTGATCTCTTTTCGAATATATTTATTACTTATAGAGTATTGCTGACAATTAATGTTATTATTGAACCTGCTGAATTTTTTTTAAAAAAATTGTAGTTATTAAAATCCTATTTACAATCTACCATGTTATAATATATTTGATACCTATTGAACAACATTTGCTAGAAACGAAAGTTTAATTAGTTAGTTTGCTTCTAGAAATGCAAGAAAAAATATTTTTACATAATTTGTTGTATTTCAAAGTTTACATGAGTTATTTGACGTTTTTGATTTCAATGTTTTCTCATATGGAATTGCATGAACAATTTAGGGACCTGTATGGTTTTTTGTTGATAACATGAATTTTGATAAAGTTTGAGAGGTGCTTTTGAACTTTATTTATACTTTTCTTATTCACGACATTTAAAAAAATAAATAGTATTTAAGTATCATAATCTTGCGATGATATAATATTATTGATTTTTTTTTTTAATTTCATGAAAGGGGCACCGTTTTAAAATGTCGTACAGGGCATTCAAAATTGTAGGGCCAGCCCTGTATACACTGTAGTCGAAATGATCATGCTAGGAATATATAAGCACGTAGACAATAGTGTCGAAACCTCAAACGTTGTTGGAATGGCGAACATTTGAGAAATATTATCCATAATCAGCTTTGGTTAAGTAAATCTTAGCTCGATCATCAGTAAAGTTGTATACTTTTACCCCGTTAATAAATTAACGTATAAAACAAATATTTTAAATTTACGACGGAGTCTTTCAGTTAGGCAAGCTAATCAACTTGAACAAAATACACGTTATTCATACAAACAATTGAAAAATATTACAGAAAAACTTCTCGAGGGTGCATAAAGAGCATACCCAAAGCATTTTGGTGGAATCAAGTTTGACGAAATGGGTTGCGACTGTCTCAGAGCCCACGGTGCAGCAGCTAATCAGAACCAATGCTTTTCCACCCTTGGTGAGTCCGCCCAGATGCATTTATGTGAAAAACACAAAAACATATTGAATTTACTTGTTTCTTAATCCTGGTTATATGCTGATGATGTTTCAAGTTGGGGATGGTTTTAATCATGAAAGCTCGTTGAACCACCTATTTCCCGGACGGAGGAACTGGAATACACACTAAGAAAATACTATGGAGTCGACAAAGATGATGGTAAACATCCCTATGCAAGGCCCTAACATAACAATATTATTCAGAGTATTATCTTGAAAAAACATCATGTGACATAATTTTTCTTAAGGATTGATATATTAAGAGAGAAACGGCAAAAATAGTCATTTTCTTTTTTTTTTTTTCCTGTTTGAGCAATGAATGAGAGAGTTTGAGACGAGAAAGTTCGAAAAGTGAGATGAATTTGTTGATTATTATTTTTACGATAAACAATGTCGTCAGAACACTAGCCGTCAATTAGAATGGTAATGGCACGGAAACCTCGAGGCAAACTCTTTCTTCCTTTGAAGAAGAAACGTGGAGTTTTTAGAGAGAGAAATTTTTGTGCTTGAAGCCTTTGAACATTGATTAACTCTAGAGACAGCATAAATGAAAAAAACAATAATTCTATTTGTACAGAATTATTGGCCACATAAATTGGTCAGAAAACTCACATGGGGTGGACCTCATGTGAGTAAAATATTGAAAAAAATAAACCACCCCTGATGTGAGTGTCTGACCATTTTCTGGCCATTCTGCTTCTGTACAATGGTATGATGTTTGAATAAATAAAAAAACACTTCAAAATCAGTGACATAATTTCGTTGCCCCTTGTCACATTATCATCATTAAACAATGCCGTAAATGATTTTGAATGGACCCTTTCGTCACGTCTCTTTTTTTCAATTCAACATACAACGCGGCAAATTTTGTTGCTTTCATTCACATCCACACATTTGAATATTTTTTAGAGAAATGAAAAGACATTAACATATAACCATTTTTTACATACAAAGAAAGTACGAAAATGTATGAGAGATTTGAAATAGGCAAATTTAGTTGAGTCACGAGTGGCTATGATTTAGATAGATATTATTCTGGAAAGAATATATTTTAAATAGTAATATGATGTGAAATATGTGGTTAAAAAATAAGGAAAAGTTATTGATATAATAAAAAAATATTATTTTATTGAAGAATGTGTGATTGAAAATGAGTTTTAAAAGAATGTGTGTCAAACATGGGCAAACGTTAATTTTTTAATGTATTTTGATAAAAGTTGATGACATTATAATTAAAAAAATGTGAATTTAATAGAATGAATAACACGAACCCTCAAGAAAAGAGTGGTCGAAAGAAAAATCAGCTTTGCTTACCAATTACACACATTGCCATCCAAATAAAATTTGTTCAACTTTGGATTCACTTTGATTAAGTTCGGGTCCAAAACAGATGAACCTCGTAACAAATTTTGTTACCGAGGAAGACTAAAAAACAGATAGTGACGTCTGTTGATTTCACAACCTTCCAAATATCAGTTGTGTCATTTCTTTAATTTTTTTGTGGAATTTTTGTCATTGATTGGTCCATCTTATTTAGTCCCAATTTGGTTGAAAGTTTATAAAATTCATTTTTTCTTCAAATTTATTTTCAATCGTAACTTTTTCTTTCTTTTTATCCAAACATTTTTAGTCCCAATTTGGTTGAAAGTTTATAAAATTCATTTTTTCTTCAAATTTATTTTCAATCGCAACTTTTTCTTTCTTTTTATCCAAACATTTTTTCAATTTTCTTTTTTCTCAATCTAAAAAAAAATCCATGTCTTTAACCTGAGATTTGGATATTTCTGATTACTTTATGATACTATTGTTGTCTCTTTCCATGTTGCAAAATCAATTCAATCTTCTCCTACTCAATTAGAAAGCAGTCTATGTGCAGTTAATCAATTTCATGAATTTTACAAGAATAAATATAAATAGTAGTGGCCCTAAATTTACAAAGTGTGCGTGGCTTAGAAACTTGCAAGAGCAATTGCCTCGTGCAAAAAATAATAATAATAAAATTAAACTCTCTTACGTATGCACTGATGTAAATTGCAGCGTACATAAACTCATTGTATTTAATGTTTCTTTTGTTGATAAGAAGTATAGGAAATTTGAAATGGACAAGCAAGGGCCTGTTGTACTGGAGAGCCTGTTGAAGCAGGATTATTATGAGAACTGCCCAGGATGTAAGGTGGATCGGCGGAAAGAGTTGCAGCGCGGTCTGCCCATCAAGCAAGTCCTTACTATATGGATTATTGTGCTTTCAACAGGTTAAAACTTTGATTCTTCTGAATGCCAATGCTGCAATTTTTTTCTTTTCCTTTTCAAAATTAGACCCTCTATGTGCTGTCCAGTGTGATTGTGGGGGTACAGTGGTGAGATATATACATGGTTTGAGGTGAAACAACGTTTGAAATTTGATAATTTTTGGTCATAATCGAGATTGGTAGATAGATTAGAGGGTTTTGCCTTTTAGAAGAAAGTAAAGGAGATAAAATATTGCAGATTTGGTCAGAAGTTCAGTTGTTATTTACTAGTAGGAAACTATTATATATCATAAAATTGATGATCTTTATTTTTAATCTCTGAAATAGAATAGAATGCAAAACTGTAACGTTCAAGAACAAGTACTGACAGTATTGATTAGTTTTGGTAACGTATTCTTTCTACTTAAGTACAGTTTTTTTATTAGCTTGCAGTGACTTATATTTGTTCAATTATAATGCAATTATTTTTGAATGACAATAGCTGAATGTTTCAGACATCGTTTTCCTGAGCTGAAAGATTACAGTAACAGCACAAGTTACATCTTTGCGTTTACAATCACCAGTTTTCTTCTCTCTTTCTAATGTTAATGTATATTAGTAGTAATGTTCTACAGTTCCTGTCGTGTACCTTTTGTCCACTTCCACAAGAAACAGTGATAGTTGACACTGATTTTGTATCATATTTTCTCTTCTTCTTTTTTCTGTACCTTTGCAGCTTTGACAATATCATCTCTCTTTCCATTCCTTTATTTCATGGTAAGTACTTAAGTCTTTTGGATTTACTTTGTCATTGCTCTGCGCTTTGATATGGACTTTGAGATATGTAAAACAGAATTGATAGAGGAAATTGTTCTCTTCCTTGTACATACGTGTATGAGTAATCTATACATTCGAAGTTAACACATTATTATGTTTAAATCTAACTTCATCTTCTAATGCTGTTTCTGATAACGACAAGAACGAGTAGTATTTTCGTTTTGACGTTACCTGAACTGATCCGACCTTGACTTTAAAGCTCAAATGCAAAGTCCAAACCAGCTCGAGCACTTGATAAACCCATCTAACTGGTCAACTTAGGTTTTGTACTATAATCTCTCAGAATATCTGAATGAGCAACGCTAGAGGTACATCGGGGTGTACATCATGGTGTACACCCCCCTCACATGGGTAAGGGGCCCACTTGAATATTTTATTCGAGTGGGCCCCTCCATGTGAGGTGATGTACACCTTGATGTACATCTTTTGATGTACATCTAGCATTTTTCATATCTGAATAGTGCAGTCCAAAGAATGTTAAAAAGTAGAGTGAACTTTTTTTTTTCAACTAAGTTTTTTCCAGATTGAAAGGGAGCTCAGAATACTTGGTTAGGTTCTAAACAATATTGACTTTCTGGAAGGACTAAACAACAAAACAGAGTATCTCCATAGCGGGATATCTGGTGCACAAGTACCACCTTGAAAGTGGGAAATGGTGGTGAATTATTGTTATGTAGGATATTTTGATACTTGTGTCCAACTTTGTGGCTTTCGTGTTACAACTTAAAATTTATAAATTTTGCTCGTATCAGTAAGAATAGCTTACAAATGACCATTTAAATCCATCTGAAATGAAAAAAAAAAAAATGTTAAAGACACTAACTTCACTGCTTAGGGCCTGAGGAAATACATTGCTTTAGACCGTCTGGTTGATCTTTTCATATAAATCTGACATTATTTATCACTCATTTTGGAATAGATTTCAGATGGGCGGACCTAATAATATTTGAGATTGATGATACATTCACCTTAAGGGCATAAGATCATTCATGGGATATACGTCTTCTTATTTTTTATTCCAATTTTTGAGATTTACATGTTAAAGCAATGCCAAGTTATAACCTACCCAACTTGTCCTTCACTAGTAACAAGAACTTCTCATATGTACATTGTTCTTCAAAATTTGTGTTTTCACAATCTTGAATAGTTGTCCAGCTTTCCAGTAGTTCTATTGCTAACATAATAATTGCGGAAAAGACTGAAGCAAAGACGTGAGTGGGTATTTATGCTTGATAGTTTAATTACTTTTGTAATATTGAAGCTAACTTCTATTGCAGGTAAAAGATTTTCACATCGCAAAACAAGAAGAAGATATCGGTTACTATGCTGGTTATATAGGTACTCTAGTTATGTTCATGTGCTTTAATGTTGGTATGTGTTAACTAATCAGTTTATGATTGTACTCAAGATTAAGTTACAAATTCATGCAGGTTCTGCATACATGCTTGGAAGAGCTTTGACATCTGTCATGTGGGGTACCATTGCCGATAGATTTGGTCGTAAACCTGTGATAATTATAGGCTGTGCAGCAGTGTTAGTGATCACTTATGCATTTTTGCTCTTATAAATATTCTTATTCTGAATGTCACAGGACTTGTTATTGATCACTTCTGTGCTAATCATTGGAGCATTATTCATCTTCAGGGTTGTTTTCAACACTCTCTTTGGACTCAGCATAAACTTTTGGATGGCCATCTCCATGAGGTTTCTTCTTGGTAGTTTGAATGGTTTATTAGGACCAATAAAGGTATTATGTAATCATTTTGCAAGCATGTTGAATAAAATTAATATATAGTGCAATATCCTACAAAGTACCTTTCATCAACAGTAACTTATTTACATTTATTTTTTATTTTCTGGAAAACTTTGGCATATTGATTTTTTAGCATTTTTACCTGACCAGGCGTATGCATGTGAATTAGTTCGGGATGAGTACCAATCTGTAGGACTTTCAGCGGTGAGCATTTGTATTACATATTGTGTTAATATCTTTAGAAACATTGTTTGATAACTTTTAAGAAATCTGCTATCATGAAGGGACTTAATACAGTATATTAGACTATGCACACCAAAGATATTCAGAAAAACATGTCTACATATTTCACTCAAATTTGGGTGGACTAGAAATAATTACTTGGATGACTTTCTGAACTCTTTAAAGCCCAGATTCATTGCTGATTTGAGCTTCAATCAGTTGAAAAAGACATAATATCATTATAAATGCTTTAGTTTCTTCCACTGCAATCTGGAATACTTGATGCTATGCCACTATATCACTGCTGAAAAGTCAGCTTCTAGCTATCTACTCTTGCCATTTCATATCAGTATAACTGCTTTAGTTTCTTCAGTCTCAACAATATGATGATTTATCATTTCAGAGACTTTCCAAGAGGAAAATATATCAAAACTTAAGGTAGATGCGTACTTGATGGAAATATTATGATCTATTCAGGAAAAAAACATAGAACTTCAAAAAATAGACAATTAGCTGTCCAAGAAGTACGTTAAGAAACAGATACAGGATCTGTCTCCTCATCTTAACAAACTATAATACATGTCTGTCACTTTTTTCCTTACGCCCTAGTTCTTAAGCTAACCTGGTTTTTTTTTTAATTAAAATAATTTGTTCCTCTTTGTCATATCACTGGTTCTATATCATTTACTTCCTTAGATCAAAATTTTTCCTGCTGTTGTCTTTAATCCTCTTTCTTAAAAAATACCTTTAACTTGCACAGTTTACCTTAAATATATATTTGGATGAATTTTAAGATTGCATACCACTAACATATATTATTTTTAGGGTATGTTATGTAGAAGGTTCTGATAAGCTTATTTTCCTTTATTTCAGGTTAGTACAGCATGGGGCACAGGATTAATCATTGGTCCAGCTTTAGGAGGATTTCTTGCTCAGGTACCTATATATATATATTATTCCCTCATTATTTATTGTATACAAAACAAAGTGAAACAATCATTTCACTTTATTTATGCAGAGTTTTCTCTGCCATGTTATCAATGTCAGCAGTTCATAATATACATTCTAGCTAGGGGATAGCTCAACTAGCGAAATAACTGAAAGTTCTATAAAACTCTGTATAATCAAATAAATATTACAAGTTAAATAGAACCATAAATGACAAACACCACTGTAGATACAAAAAGGATCACAGATGAATTCAAATTTCGGTCTAGTAATGAATGAATACCTGTTCCTAATTTTTACAAACATTTCAGGTGCGAAATATGGATCAGTGGCGTTCGTCAGTAGTACCATTTGCATAATTTTGCTAGCATTCCTTTTCCCTTGTTCTTCTTTGGATTTCCCTTAAAGGAACATTATCTTAATTAAGACTAACCAAGTAGCCATCTAAAGATTAGGGCTAATTGTCTTATGAATTGCAAAAGACCTTCGTCACTTCGTGTAACTTCCCTTTCTAAGGGATTCAAAAGGAGAAAAGAAATTTTCATTTTCATTTCATGTAACTTCTGATTTATTTCTCAGTTCTGACTTTTACTTTTTGTACTAAGCCTGCAGAGAAATTTCCTGCAATATTTTCGTCAAATTCTATATTTGGAAGGTAATGTTTCTTCTTGCATTACCATTTGGCATAATCATCATAAAATTCTGCTATGGTTACCTCTAACACATGAAGCTTTATGCAGATTCCCATATTTCTTGCCCTGCCTGATTATATCACTCCTTGCATTGCCTGTCACTATTGCTTGCTTTTGGATCCCGGTATGTTTCTTCTGCTTGTTCTTCTTCATCTTAGATGCGTCATTCAATTTAACATCGCGATATCAAATTTATGTCACTTGTTTTCTTTGCTTTTTTAACCCAAATATTTGTAGTTGAGTTCTATTTCATGAGAATTTCCAACGCATAGAACATTAGATGTTTTAATATTGATAACATCAAACCGAAAATATCCCAAAATGATTTCTTTAAGCTGCATTCCATGTTCATTAGGGAAAGAAGAAGAGGACATGAGTGTAACATGAGGATGCCAACATTAAACTAAAATAAAGTCATGCTTGTGATTCTATAAAAATATATCACGTCTTCTTTTTATCTTCCCCACTTGTAAGTTATAACGTTTGTGTTATCGCTGCATTGTTCTTAGATACCATCTTGAACTGAGTTTTAGTACGAAGATTTTGATTAAACTCTGTGAAATGCAGGAAACTTTGCATACACACAACTCAGATAATATATCATCTCAAATTTCATACGATGTTCTGGAGTCTGCATCTCCCAGGTCTACTGATAATGTGGACCTGAAGGAAGGAAGTGAAACAACTTCTAAAAGTAGCCTCCTCAAGAACTGGCCCCTGATGTCATCCATCATAGTGTACTGTGTTTTCTCCCTTCATGATATGGCTTACTCTGAGGTAAAGTAAATATAACATTCTAGTGGTCTTAGTTTGTTTGCGTTGTGGCCTACATCATTGTTACTGATATTGATCTAATGTTCAATTCTATTTAGTTGGTTTGTATTTCAGTAGTAGCTAATTGTTCAATGGTCTTTATGATGCATGCTTTCTAACACTTGGATAACAACTTAGCATATCAAACAGAAATAAGTAATAAACTTCATATAATTAATATTTATTAAACAATTATATTCATGTAGACACGAAGATAAAGAAATAGTTTTCATATTAAACCTATGTGATGCTATTTAGTGTCTTCTATTAAAGTATATTTTGGTTTTCCAGGTAATAAATCATAAACTGCTCTTTGATGGTTATTTTGTTCCTCGACTCTTTTGTGTTTTTGGCCATCTCACGACATTCCTATTTGCTTCAACAGATATTCTCATTATGGGCAGTGAGTCCCAGACGGCTTGGAGGATTAAGTTATTCAACTCAAGATGTTGGTGTAGTTCTTGCAATTTCAGGTTAAGTGCCATTACATTTTGTGTTAATTCTATTGTATTTCATCCTGTTTTCTTTAATAATCAGTAAAAATGTTTTAATAGGTATAGGAAACAGAATCCAAGATAACTGATTTACATAAAAAAAAAATTACACATGGAGAACCCTTAACAAGATTAGCATAATAGATGGTAGCATATCAGGAAGAAGATTTCATTAATATGTCTAAATGTTCTTGCTTCAATATCCAACCTAAAACTAATTGCTTGCATGTAAATATGCCCACCTATCATGTTTTTGTTTGTTAAGTCATGGTTCTCCAAGTTGGTGGCATTCTATCATTTCCAATCTTGTAAGATAATTTCAAAACCCTCTATTAGTTACATAAAACAAGGAGTACTGTAAGAATGAACCTTATGCACCCCTTACCCCTTCCTTTATAAACTGTAAATCCTGACCGGAGTAACTTGGTGCTAAATTGTGACATTTCACTTACCATCATCATCTCTTGCTTTGCAAGTATTATATGCACACTAGTCAGGAGATGACCAAATATTGTGACATTTCGCTTGATTTCTTAAGAGATGAATTTTATTTAGATTTGTTAATTTTGGAGTTGAGAAAGATGCAGATTTTTATTATTTGGGAAATGTAAGTTGTTGTATGTAAACAGGTATTATGAAGACAATTGAGAAGGGAAAATATGTATTCTCTTTGATCTGAGAATGCTGGAACTAGTCTGAAGTATACAGGTCGACAGACCTTAACTATCAGTTTGATATTAGAGAACTGCCGCATCACGGATTTATGAAGTACATAAAATATGTAATGACGTCTGTGATAATTACTGAACCCTTCAAGTGATCAGAACTCCTGGAATCAATATTAGAAGAAATATAAATTAAAAATGTTGGGGATACGATCATATATATATCAATAGTTTAACTTTCAAATGAATTTAAAAACACATAAATCCTACCCACTCCAAATGTTTAAACTTTCATGTAACCGGATGGTTTTCTGGGGGGGGAGGGTTGGGAGGGAGAGAGAGAGAGAGAAAACCTTTTGTGATTCGATCTCAGTTCAATTTTCATAATCTTAAAAGGTCAGTGTGCATTGAAGATTTAAATAAGTCTCAATGCTCTGTCGGTGGAAATGTTTCTCTTTTAGATGATGGTAATTTAATCAATCTCTTCAATTCATTGATGCGAAGATCCATATTATTGTGCTATGAGTAATAAAATCACGTGGAAAGGACATATGATTTTGACATTTGAAGAGCATGTATCACTTAACTTTATGATATTTCTAGGTAATTTTAAAATGAAACATCAAAGCATCTTAACGCTTCAGTTTCATATATTACTAACAATTAAAACAATACCCTAGTATGCTGACAGGTTGTAAATTTTCAGGTTGTGGCCTATTAGTCTTCCAGTCCTCTTTATATCCACTTGTGGAGAAAATGATTGGACCTATCATGGTCTCTCGACTTGCAGGAGTAAGCACTAGTGCCTTGCTAGAGATATTTATGAAGTAGTGGCAATATGTTTATTTAAAGATGCAACTTCCAGTTTTATTGCTAATTTGACTATTGTTGTTTACATTCTACACTGCTTGCAGATTGTGTCAATACCATTACTGACAAGTTATCACTATATTGGCATGCTATCTGGAATTGGCCTATCAATATTATTAAATTGTGCATCACTGGTGATGAATGTTCTATCTGTAAGTGATTTGTTTATTTCAACATTTTATCACTCATCTAGTTTGTTTCATTCATAAGGTCGAGAATAGCAGTAATCATTTTAGTTATCATGTAGAACTACATAATACATCATAACAACCGGATGTCTGAAGTAGGTGCACATGCATGTTATTGCTGGAATTCCAGGATTAGAACTAAAAGAGGACACACGTTGTACTAAATATAATGGTAGTAACAAATGGGACACAAGTATTGTAGAACCTTGAGCCATCTTATGTGTGTGATGATAACAATTTGGGGATATTGACTTCGATCTCCTTTCAATGTGAACTACTATTTCTACATTCTCTGTAGATGCAAAAGAAATCACCAATAAAATAGATTCATAGGTTTGATATCTTGTAAATGAAATCTTTGATAGATTGCATAGACTCTATTATCTCATTTCGAAGGTGGAGAGTGGAGGGGAATTGATATCACATGAGTCGCACCCATCTAAATGCTATTCAATTATCCAATATTTTTGTGACAAGGGATATCACAACCCCTCCACTAAATCCCTAATGATATTGTTAGCCCCCATACAAACATTCTACAGCCATACACTGTATAGGTTCTAGGCACTCTTTATGAGGGCGAAAAGGTCATTCCTCCTGCTAATAATGGTAGCAAGATCCTCATCCATTTTGCCAAAGAGAAAAAATCTAGAGAACTTAGCTAATATGAAAATTTTTGCAACACAACACAGGAAAAGGCCTTAATTGAAGCATAATCAACCTATTATCTAAATAATTTCTGAATCTGAAATCTGGAACCATTACTTTAATGATCTCTCAAAAATGGGAAAGCACACAAATTGTGAAATAAAGAGCAGAAGATGAATAATCTTTCTAGAATTATTGTTCCGCGGATGTATACGAATCAAACCACATGTGGCCATGTATGGCTGTTAAAAGGATCTATAACTATATTTTCTTTTTCTAAAACATTTTGCTGATCTTGGTAGACTTCTACACTCATAAAGTTTGATGATTGATTTTACTTATATACTCAGAACCAGGTTCTCCGTGAGTTGTAAAATTAAATTAAATCTTTGAGAGAGAGTTAAAGGCCATTTTTTATGTGACTTACATCTCAATTCCTCACATTGGGTGAGTGCTTCTTTATGTTCTGAACACGAGTCACAAATTAAGAAACAAGGTAAAATACAGCTGGTGGAATTAATTGTTATCTCCTTGAATACTCATTTTACTAGTAGACAGCCTAATAGTCGATGACAAGTGTACACAATTCTGAGATTTATAAAAAACTACAGAAGATGTATGTATAAAACTAAAAGTTCATGCCAGTGTTGAAGATGAAGAGCGTATTCATTAGCATACTCATCCTATCTAATTAAGTTTTATGGAAGCATAAATTTTAGATAAGAAATTCTCTATTCCTATTTCAACTCTGAACATTATCTGCTCTTTGTTTTCATCAGATCTCCATTGTAACGGGTTTGTTCATATTGCAAAATAGAGCCGTGGTAAGTTTCTCTTGGATTGATCTTACAAAGCATTTTTTTCCCTATCTAGCTTGACAAGATTATGTACTTATTTTACATACATACGTTAATTGAATTTCACTGACATTACACGTACAGGAACAACACCAAAGAGGAGCTGCCAATGGTATTGCCATGACCTTGATGTCACTTTTTAAAGCTGCAGGTCCAGCAGGAGGAGGAGCACTGTAAGTTGCTTTTTGACACTTGGCTTCGTCTATCAACATCTTTTGAGTTATTGTTGATTCGAAACAAAAAAAATCGTATAGTGAGCTTCTCATGGTGATTCATTTATGGGGGTGGGCAAAGAGTTAACAGAAATGTTGGACTAAACCAGAACTGGACCAGAACTGCCGGTTTGGTCTGGTTGTACTCAATTTCTTATCGTTCTGGGTATTAAGACCAAGAATCAGCCAGTTCGGATCCTATTCTCGGTTCTAATACAAAGAACCAAAAGCCCATTTTAACCTGAAATTATTATTTTTTATTTTAAATAGTAGTTGTTGCAATGCACCAACCAATTTACTTTTTTTTGTGAACTTCACAAGTATATCAGCTCATTCTGTTCATTATAGTATTATTTATAAACTCACACAATTATCTCCTTTAAATTCCACAGATGTATTTTGCATTTAGTTGAACTTGAAAAATTCAAGTCAATAGCATCAACATAAATCATGTTTAATGAAGAGATTATGGAGAACTTAGATATTCCACTTGCATCGGTTGGTGAATTTGAGAACTTCAATTTAAGGAATTGAATTGGACCGAACACGATGGTTCGAACCATTCTGTTCTTAGAGATGAAAGTAGTGGTTCCATTTTGAAGATATCCATTGGTACTTGGTTTGCTTCATTTCTCTTTGGAGCCAGATTATACTGGACGGCTCCAACCCCAAATTTATAGTATACAAAATTATTGTCCTAGACCCTGAAAGATAAAATACAGTTAATGTTATTATAATAGACAAATTAAATGAACTGGAGAATGGTAAGAACTGTGGCATCTCCTAAGCCTGCAGACCAGAAAAACAGACTGCCTCTTATGTCCATCAATCAAGAAATTATTTTGTGCACTGACTCTGTTGTTTGTAGTCTACACAAGCTACGAAATTTTGCATGCTAATCTATCCTTGTTTTACAACGAATGCAGTTTTTCCTGGGCAGAGAAGCGTCAGGAAGCCAGCTTCCTTCCAGGTAGGTGTACTACGTTTATTGTGATATTATGCCTTGATGTGTGTAGATAAGTTATTTATTTCTTTAGTTATTAGACTATTTTTTTGTCAAATCTGGTAGCATTTCATATCATGAACGATAATACTGTGGTTTAAGTTGTGTAAAGGGTCAATGAACCACAAAAAGTAAAGGGTCAAGAGTTAACCGGGTAAAGCCAGGAATCAAAACAATTAATTAATTATAAATACAATAATAGCCAATTATCCTAGTTGAACAGACCGATTCACCAGGTTTCATCCCGCTTTTCTAATATGAGTCTTTTAGGCTATAACTCTTTGTGGTCAGGCTGTTGATTATCAAAACAGTGGCTTTAAGTTGACCTCTTCATCTAACGTATTTCAATTTTCTGTGTATAAACAAGACCTATGTAGGACAAGCATGGGTCAGAATCCGACATGTGAGGTTTTGTGTTCGAATCCCTTGAGCTTGTACAACAAATTGGACTTGGTCTCTTTACATGAATCCGGTTCTTTCGATCTTTATTTGCTGTGTTCGATTCAATTCTTTGGCATTGATTGACATCACCAATGCTGTAGGAAGGCTGAACAAGATCTTTCTCCTGAACTAGACAAACAAAAACCTTTGGCTCGTCTGTGATTCAGATCCAGCTTAGGCTAGGGGTCATTGATTGCATTTAAAATAAATTTGTTTATGATTCTCACGCTCATTGTCGTTGCCAACTTCCATGTCTTAGGAATCAGGAAATCCCTTATTTTCAACGTGTGTTGGCTTTTCTGCTTTTATTTTGACGTCAAGGTTAGCAATGTCCTCTTCTTCTTGAATGACATATGGTCCTCCTCGTTTGAACCATCGTTAGGATTTGGATTTCGAGACGGGAAACTTAAGAATCTTGATAAAATAAATTGACTAATAAAATTGGTTAAGTAGAAAACATGCCTAGCTTTCTTGCCTTGAAAAAGAGTTAATCCTCTAATCAATTAGCCCAATAATCATCCCCTAAAGGAAAAGAAACTAGAAATCCTACTAATCAACAAAAGAAGAAAACTAAGAATTATAGAATCCTAATAACTAGCAAAATAAGGATACTAGTAGCATGTTTAGCTAAGCTTTAAAATCTACTTATGAAACTTGCCTAACATGCTCTAAGTTGATTATAACGCTACTTGGATTGCTCAAGCTCCATATTTTCTTGGTCATCTTTCATTATATTCACGAACTTTCTATGAACTTCGTTTTCATCTCCACCCATCTGTTTACTGGGAAAAATTCAAATACCCATCTCCTTCAAGGTAAAACCCCGCTCACCTTCTCCCTTCCTACTAAGGTTCATCTAGTCAAATGTGATTCGTCTATGATCAATTAAAATTATAGTGCCTGAAATTCTTCCTCAAGGACTGCTCCAAACTTCAGTTATTGTACAGTTATCCACCTATTTTAAATGTGTAGTTCTGATTCCAAAACAGAGGTATGACAAGCATTTTATGATGGAGTATCTGAGATTTTACTTTGGGAGGAAGGGTAGAGAGTTCATTGTGGCTTACTTGAGCTAAAGTTGTAGATGAGCTAGGAGCTTTCAGGGTTTGAACATGGGAAAGTGGGTGGGTAAACAAAAAGGTGAAGAAGGAGAAATGTTGTGAATATCCTTGGTGCTGTCAAATCTGAACACTACCAATAATGGTTCTCCGTATTATGATCTGAATTAGGTAGACAGAGTTATCAGTCCCAAGGGTGACTCATTAAATATTGGGGTTCATTAATTAAGGAAGACTTAGAAGTATCTATCTAGTCCAAAACTCTCTTTAAAAAGGTTGAAATAATTTGTTTTTGGGGTGAGACTATTATCGTTGCTATAAAATTTGTGCATTGATTTGTTTAGTGCATCGAAAAGAAGACTACTTTGTGTTTGAAAGTATAAGCAATGGCTAGACGATCAAGTTTATTACCATGTTTGCTTATTAACTGCATGTCTAACATTTGATTATTAAGGAGTATGTGAATTAGTTAATATCAGGATGACAATTGAAAATATTCTAAAAGGAAAAATCTATTTGTACATAAATGCTTTTACAGATTCACCAGAATACTAATAATGAGGTGCTTCACAATGTATTAAAAAAATAAAAATAATGTGTGGGACCCACGTGTGTATTTTCTGTGAATTTTCTGTCAAAATGGCTTCTGTACATGAAGCAGAAACTCTGGCAGCTTGGTTCTTCTACTTGCACGTGCTGCATATATTTTCCTATAATCTATATTCTACACAACAATGCTTTGTTAAGCTAATTATATTGTGAAATTTCCTTATCCTGTTTGGTTGAAAGCTAATTAGAAGTGTTGATGACATGCAGGAGACCAAATGGTGTTCTTCATCTTGAATATAAGTGAGTTAGTTGCAGTGTTGATGACATTCAAACCATTTTTAGTGGAACGTACACGATGATTACTTTCCCTAAAGTACAAGAGCCACCGAGATTATTAATCGTTGTTTTTCAGTGCCGCACACAAGTGACTAGCCGTGCCATATGTATTCCATCTTCATATCAGAATTATTTTTCTTAAAAACATTTATATATGAAATTAATCTGTTGTAATTGAGAGAGAGAATTACTCATTGATTTCTACATGACTATACGATTATTCAGAATAGATATGTAATGTAACAAGTGTTTTGCCATTGAAATACCAAAAAAACTTAGTAGAGGTACTACCATTCCACCCACCCCATCTAGACGGATACCTGAATCTCGACTAAGCTTTAGTGGTCGGGGGGGGGGGGGGGGGGGNGGGGGGGGGGGGGGGGGGGGGGGGGGGGGGGGGGGGGGGTGGGTGGGGTTGAATAATGTATCAGGTTCCTTGCATGACTGGCTGCAAACAAACAATGTGTTTCTTTGGTTTTGTTTTGATTAGAAAAATAATAGAATTGTGGGTTTTCTCATTTTTGTGATTTATATAGCTAGTCAACATGATTTTAATCAAAATCTATTCTCGTTATTCTTTTGTGAAGCAACTCAATCGTGATTGTAAATATCCAGCATCCTTAAGAATTAGTAGGTTTTGAACATACTATTCGGTTTATATTTCATGCGTTGCAAGTTTTGGTATACTGCTCTTTAATTTGTAACGAGAATCAACCCTTTAGTTGTAAATCCGGAGATTTTTCGGCCGGGGGGGGGGGGGGGGGGGGNGGGGGGGGGGGGGGGGGGGGGGGGGGGGGGGGGGGGGGGGGGGAGGGGGGGGTTGGGCAACCTCCCTCGTCCCGTGCAAGCAATTCCTCGCCCAGTTACCCGTTTAAGGCCGGGCAATGCCCTGTTTACTACCCTGTTTAATTTATTTTTTTAAGTTCTTGATAATTTATTTTATTGCCTCCATTCATTAGATTGAGACAATTAATTTTAATTCCCATTTTCTATTAGAACTAACAAAATTTTATGAAATTTTTTATTTAAAGTATTGAATTCTAAATAAAAAATTAAACGGGGAGGGGTCCCGCGGGTATCGGGTTTGTTGGATTTTTTTGTCATCCCTAGATTTTTCTACAGTAAAAATATCATGATGCATGACATTAGCCTGAACTCAACAGTTCACTAATATTACAATTTTTAGTAGGCTTGGCATTGAGTGTGTCGGTTCGAGTATTTCAATATTTAGATCCACCGATTATGCTTCAGGTATTTCATAAAGGGAAAATTGCACTCACACTTGCTTTTTAACTTCTCAATTCAAAAATCAGGTTTAAATTTTTTGTTCGAAAATCAGGTGATAATTCAACATTTTAATATCAATAATAATATTATAAAATAAAATTAATTTACATAACCATCCACCCCATCCAAGTTCACTCTCAAATCCTCCCCCTCTCTCCATTCTCTCTTTATCATTGGAAGTGTAACAGCGAAATCTGTGCGCAAGAGCATCGTCGCTGTGTGAGACGCTCATAGCATTTGTTATCGGAAGTGCCGTTACACAATGACATCATCGTTGTTGCGCATGGCGATGATGCACAACTGTGAGCGTTGCCACCCAACGACATCAACGCCACTGTGCGCGACTCTCACACCACTGTGCACATTTTCTAGTCGCACAAAGGCAAGCGTTGTGAGTAGTAGCATCATCATCGCTGCGCGTGACACTCCTATTGTGATATGTGGTGATGGTGATTGTTGGAGTGGTTTTTGTTCGTGGTGGTCGGTTTTTTGCAAATGGTGATGGTGGTACATTTGGTGATGGTGTTAGTGAGGTGGTAATGGCGGTGGTGCTAGCGATTATCGTGATTTGGTGGTGGTTTTCACAAATGGTGATGGTTCTACGCAACAATGATGTAGTTTTTGGGAAAGTTCCTTCCTCCAATCTAATCCGATCTATTGCTTAGCCGATGTTTTGGGATAGTTTTTCTTGGTGGTTTGCAAATGGTAGTAGCGGTGTTCATGGTTGTTGTGAGGTGGTCATAGAGGTGGTGCTGGCGATGGTGGTTCAAGTGGTGGTGGTGGTCCCGACGGGCAGTGGTGAGATGGTAGTGGTTACAAATGGTGGTGGTGTGATGGTAGAGGTGTAGGTGGTGGTGCTAGCAGTGGTGGTGAGGTGACGTGGCGTTCAGTTAGTGCAGTGGGGGAGGGGTAGAATGAAAAGTATTTGTGACCAATTATTTGAGTGATTGTGATCAATAAATTAGTTAATTTATGACCGATAAGTAATGTGTTCAATAAAAAAGATAGTCACAATTTGTTAATTTTTGAACAATTAATTTGATCATTTTTGATCATTTGTGGCCATAAAATAAATTGTGGCTTATAAAATTTGTGATTTGTAATCTAGAAATAATGTACGATCTATTAATTAGATTATTTGTAATTGAGAAATAAGTTGTGACCTATAAAATTTGTGATTTGTGATCCAGATATTACACGGGACTAATTAATTTGATAGTTTATGACTTATAAATAAGATTTATCCTATAAAATTTGTTGTTTGTAACTTTATGTGATTGCGACTAATACGTAACTGTGACCATAAACTGTATAATATTGTGGTCTTAATATATTTAATTATTTATTTAATTCATAAAATTTAATTATGATCCTATTTTTGAAATTTTAAAACTTTTTTCTTAATTTTGAAATTGTATCTTTCAAATATCTTAAATATGTATTGTTCCCTTCCATAAATGGAACCATTTTGGCCCACATAATTATTGGGATCAAACTCGAATTGGAACTGACGATTCAATCCATAACATTTTTGTTAAAAAAAAAAAAATCGTGAGTTGACAATACAAATTATTTTTTCCAATATCTAGCAGAAATAGAAGAAATATAATATAGGGATAATTACAGTCACGATCCCAAACCTTTTATATCTTTGTAGTTTTTACCCAAACCTTTCATTCTTGCACTCACAACCCCAAACTTTTCATTCATATGTGGCTAAAGGACATAGGACGATTTCTGATAAGTGTATTTTTTACACTTATTCGGGGCTTAAAACTATAGAATTTTATTGATTTTTTGACAAAATTTTACATAATTTATGTTATATTGCATTGTGTAGGTAAAACTTTATATTTGTTGAAAAATTGGAGAAAAGAAGCAAAATATGGTGAAAAATGGTAAAATCCAAAGTTCGAGGATCAAATTGCAAATACTCAAGAAGATACTTTGAAAATT